GTTGAGTGTTAAGAGGCATTTTATTATTATTATTTTTTTGTTTTTTTGTCTTTTTCCTTTTTATTGGTACCAGGGATCGAACTCACACCTGCCTGCTTACAAGCAGGCGCTTATGCCACTGAGCTAAATCCCCAGCCCCTTATTATATTTTTAATTTGTATTTCCTCCATAACAAATGAAGTAGAGGTCTCTTTATTAAAATTTTAAAGAGATTAAAACAAAACGTAAAAACAAGAAAATGATTTAGGATTTCAAAACAAGAGATAGAAAATTAACAATGGTCACTATCCTGCATATTGTTATCTTCAGAATAGTTGCTTAGAATACAAGATACAGACGTGGAACAGATCAAACAATATAAGCACTCACTGTTTCTTTCCATGAACTAATGGAATTACTGGCAGAATTATCTTAGCTAATATATTTCCCTCTTTTGTTCTTTTCTCTTTTTCTCCATCTGAGTTGTTTTATTTCCTTTTAAGCAGTTTTTTTCCCTTTCACAATATCTATTGTACTGTTGGATCTTATTTACTCTTTCAGTTTCTTACACAAGGGAGAGAAGCTGAAAAAGTAAGTAAGTGTTCTTATTAGCTATTTCTGTGTTAAGTGCTTGTTCAAAATTTTAAAATTTTTTTGAGTTTAATAATGATCACTACATTTAGTAAACTATTTTGGATAAGGATACAAAGCACTTTATATTTAATATGCATAACAGCACTATTTAGCAGGTCTTGCAAATATTACAAATGTTTCTTGAGTTAGGATGGGGATATATCCCAATAAACCCATCATAAATTGAAACTATTCTATGTTGAATGCATTTATAACATCTAGCACATTAAACATCATAGTTTAGAGACCCAGCTCACTATAGAGGACTATTTCTTTTTCCTAGGAGTGGTGACTCATTGCTGCTGTTCAGCATCAAAAGAGAATATCACACAGCATTATTGCTAGCTAGGGAAAATACCAAAATTCAAATTACAGTTTTATATAATGTGCATGACTTTCACACCATCATAAGGTTGAAAAATCAGAAGTGCAACCAGTTTAAGTTAGGTTCTGTCTATACTCTAATTTTACAGTTGAAGAAGCCGAAGCCTCGAGACGTTCAATAATTTTCCCAAAGTCTGAGTTGTAAGCAATCAAGCCAAGATCTAAACATAGGACTACAATAAAGCTAGAAGCTTGAGCAACAAGCTCTTGGTTGTGAATCAGGTTCCTTAAGTATCATTTCCCAAAAAGAACTCCTGGCAGTGTAGAAAACAGCAAAGATCATCACTATGCTGACCACCAGAAACCAAAGTATGTATCCTGCCCACTGCATCCGGGCTAATATGATCTACCTGCTGGAATCCAGCGAACATATTCACACTACAAGTTACCCAGAGAAGGTCATTATTTACAGATAAGCAGCAAAGGACAGAAGGCTGCACTGTGAACTAATTTCCCAAAGGTCAAAAAAGCTTCTCAAGGTGGATTAGACTCTTAACTGTACATGCCCACTATGCAGTGCACATGGCTGAGGGACCCCCCCCCCCCGCCCCGCACACACACAAAGCAGCTTGCTCTGTGTTATATACTTAATGGACTATGTGACTGATTCAACACAGCTTTGAAGGTCATCCTACATTTTAGGTGAGAGATGATCCAAAAACTCTGTAATCCCAGCACTTGGGAGGCTGAGGCAGGAGGATCACTGCAAGTTGGAGACCAGCCTGGTATGCCTGTGGAGAAATCCCAACCCAAAATTACAAGCCAGAAAACACGCAAAGGTCATGGGGATTCTTATTAGGATTCCTTCTATAAGTTAAATAGGATAACCCTAGGTTTTATCCACAGAGAGGGGACTTTCTTGAGCTTTAGAAGTTGTTAGGGCAGACAGTGTCACAAAATGTCCATGGAGTACTCAAGTGTGTTCCAGTTATGACAACAGAATTCTGGTTTTTCTGGAAGCTACACTGCTGTGCCAGGCATCTTCATGTTGGAGGTGAAGCTATGAATACTGTTTTGTTTCTATGCTGAAAGGGATTTCATGTAAGCACACTATGGCTATTGTTCTGTAACATTTTCAAGTTGAAAGCCAAAGGCTAAGGGTACTACAGTTTGAAAGAGTTTTGGCCCAGACAGGACACTGTAGCTGGTAAAGCCTCAAGGCGGAACTAAGGAGCTCCATCTCCCCCACCCCTAGGAATTTACTTATGGCACCAAACAAAGACCAGTGGCCTACCGGTGCATCCCTAATGCCCCCTTAGGTTCCACCCCAAATCGAGGATACTCATATGCCCCCACTCCATGTGTTCCACGGAGAGATCGCTGACCCCGGGGTGGAGATGTCGTGCCCTGGGGGGTCGGGGCTGTCTCTCCTCGCATTCTCAAAATAAAGGTCATTTTATTTCATATTTCTTATCTTTTCAGCCACCGCCTGTCCCCCACAGTTCTATCACGTTAAAACTCTTTGAGGGCAAATATAAACAGTAATAGAAAAAAGTATATAAAATGATTGCATTGACAGCTCAAAAATAATAATTTTCATTTAAACTGATCCAAGGTGAAATTTATGAGCTATTTTCATACAATATCTCACTTTTGCCTCCCAAATTCCTGAAAGGTAGGTAGGACCAATAGGATGATTATGATTAAAATTTTATCCTACAAAGGAAGAAACCGATGTTCAGAAAGTTCAGTAACTACCTGTTGTCCCAAAAGTTTTGAATGGCTTTGCAGGTCTCAAGTTCTGGTCCTCTATGATTGTGCCCACTGTGCTGTATGTTCTCGGATACACCTCGCTATATGTACAGGACTGTGACAATCACCAAACTTTTGGTTTAGAGTTAAAGCATCAGAACAATGAGTCCCCTGAGAAGCGGTATTTTTGGAAAAGGTACAGGTATCAGGGGAAAATAGGAAGTTGTCTCAGGGTTTCAGTTTGATTCATTTATCACAGTTAAAAGAATTCCTTTAGGGAATCTCCCTGCCAAAACTGCTGATGGACTCTACAGAAGTTACCCCAAAGTTAAGGGAAATTCCTTCCATTGCCGTGGCCGGCAGAAATCCTGTGGCTTCTACCAAAGTAGACAGCGTGAGAACCCAGAAGTGGCAGCTGCTTTCCGTTCTTCAGATCTGAATTTACAGCCAAGGAAATCCAGCCACTAACGGGATGGGAAACAGCATGTAAAGCACATTTCTACAGCCCTCCTTTCTCCCAGTGACAGTCATCCAAAACACAGAGGGAGCAAGTATGTATCTTTCCATTTTTAGGTCAAATTCTTTGTACATTATCAAGCTCCCTATTTTAGTTGTTAAAGAAAATACATTTTAACCTACATTTACTGCCTGTGCTATTCATGATTTTTTTTTTTTTTGAGACAGGATTTCACTGCACAGTTCAAACTAGTTTTAAACTCACATCAGTCTCCTGCCTCAGCCTCTCAAGTGCTAGGATTATAGGTGTGTGTTACTACACTCAGTTTGTTTATGAAGCTTTACAAAATGGTATAAACCAGGGGTGGTGTGTGCCTTTAATCTCAGCATTCCAGAGGCTGAGGTGGGGGGATCCTTGCGAGTTCGAGACCAGTTTGGGCTACAAAGTGAGCTCAAGGCCAGCCTGAACTTCATAAAGAGACCTTGTCTCAAAAAGACAACCACACACACACACATCCAAAAAAGAAATTGTATTAAACACTGTCATTGTAGTCATCTGACTTCTGACAGAAGTGAAAGTTTGAGCATTACAGTTTTTATTAATGTCAGTTCTCATAGATTTAGATATACAACTGGCCGTTGAAAAATTATAATAAAAAAGGTTTCAAATTCTAAATTTTGTTAAAAGATTATATTTGTCACAGCCGGGAGTGGTGGCTCACGCCTGTAATCCCAGCACTTGGGAGGCTGAGGTGGGAGGATCCTTGTGAGTTGGAGACCAGCTTGGGCTACAAAGTGAGCTTAAGGTCAGCCTGAACTGCGGTAACAAGACCCTGTCTCAAACAACAACAACAACAACAACAACAACAAAAAAGATTATATTTGTCACAAGTGTATTTCAAAAATGTAAAAGACTTGGTTTTGGAAGGCCTATTTTCAAATTCTACCTCTGCCACTAACACGACCTGGAAATTCACTTGACTTTTCTAAGTCCCTGTTTGTCCATGCTGAAATGAAGCAGTTAGATGATCTTGAACGTGAAGCAGTGCTTAACAAAGCTGGACTTAAACTCGAAGCAATCCTCCTGCCTCAGCCTGCTGAGTGTGTGCCACTGTGCCCAGCTTCATTCTTTAATTAACTATTAAATATGTATTTTTCTGCTCTAACCACTAATAAAGCAATAAAATAGTGCCCCTACGTGGTTGGCTGATTGGGGCTGGCAAGCGCCAATCACACACCCTTAAATTAGGCATACAGTGTGTCACTGTAAACCACAAGTCCCTGCTGTGGCGTCTCCCTCTTTCTGGTGAACTCCCATGTTTTGGCGGCTCGTTGTCAAATATGCCTTTTCCTGAAGTAGTCAGAAAGTTAAATCCTAGTTCCCTGTATTCCACTAGTGACTAACCTGTGGTCCACCTGTCATATCAGGTACCCCGTGGTGGGGTTACTGCTTGTTTACTTGATCCCAGAATATAGAAGCGCCTTTCCAAAGTTATATAGACAGCAGCTCTCCACTCATCGAAATCATCTGGGAACATTTTAAAACTGGGTATTTGAATGAACAGTTACCTACCAAAACTATCCAGAGAATCAGCTCTAGCTTCCCCTGAGCTTGCTCGTTCAGGCTTTCTGTTTTGTTTTCTATTTATTTCACTTGTCATTTCCTCTGCATTGTGCCATCCAAGCTGCAGACATTACTAATAAAGGGCAATATAGCCTACTGACCGAATCTCTGGCACCTTAAAGTAATAGTTCTCAAGGCTTCAAACATCCAACAGAAACTTCAAATGAGGAATCTCTGTTAAATACTCCTTAAGTGTTTTTCAGGATCCTCCTAGCTGGCCACTTCTCCTTCACGCGGGGCCTGCAGCTGGGCGTAATTACCCTTATCCTCCTCTGAGTTGGTCTTGAGGCCTTACACCAACTCACCTGTAGCTGGGCGAGGCAGCGGAACCCAATGCACCTCCCAGGGGCTGCATGCTGCCCTGGGGTCGGGTCCCCCTTAGCGCTGGAGGGGGGGGGGAGGGGTGGGGGAGGGGAGGGTGGGGGAGGGGAGAAGGGGGCGGGGCAGGCGCAGACTGTAGAGAAAAACCGAAACTCAGCTGTTAAAACCGCTGTATCTGCTCTTTAGAATCTTCCCTCGAGACTCGCCAGGCGTCCTGGGACCATGGGCTCTAAGACCATGTACCCTCGCCGGCTTGCAGCAGTGGACTCGCAGTCCAGCCCTGGCCCCGGCCCCCGGGACAGGGAGCTCGGCGTGCTACCCAGCAGGAGCTGGAGCCGGGGTTTGCAGGGGGCGGCTGCCCCAGAGCGCCCGAGCCTGGGGCCCTCGGACCGGAGGAGGTGAGTAGTCAGCAACCTGTCTTGGGGGATGCGACCTCAGCTCCAAACATTCAAGCATCTTGCTGAGGTTTGGAGTTTGAAAACTCAGGAGCCCAATAACAGAGTTTTTGAGAGAATGAAATACCAGTTGCCTAAACAAAGGCATCCATACTTTGAAACTGTCAGTTTGGAGTCCTGTACTCAATATCGGAGCTCTCCCATTTTTATTATTATTTTGTTATTTTGAGGCAAGGTTTCCGCTATAGTTCAGGCTGGCCTTGAACTCACTTTGTCTCCCAACCGCCCTTGAATTCACAGAGAGCTTCCTGCGTCAGCCTCCAGTGCTGTGCCACCTCACCTGGCCTCGTACTCCTTTTAAACAAATTGCTGATTGTCCTCTCTAGTTACAGGATTGAAAGGGATGTACATAAAAATTCTTACTAAATTTCCAAGTGTCTCCAGAAGTTATGCTCCAGCTAAGTAAGAAAATAAGGTTTTCGTTATTGTTTTTAAAAATTCCTGCCATTAATAGAATCACCATACTAGACACCCGGCTCAGGGCTGGAAGGTATGTGACATGGGGAGGAGAGAGAATCACATAGGAGCCAGAGGAGCTCGCTTGTGTTCACTCAGACTGGCAGGTAAACTCGCCTCTTGGGACCAGGAGCAGGGCTGCTGGGGAGTCCTGAGCAGTTCAAGGTGGAACTATGCCCTGAACACGGACAGGTGGGTGGCATTTATTCTCAGGCTTTGCTTCAGGGACTACAGATGGTATTTTGGACGCATCTCTTATGCAGTATCCATGATCCTCTTTCCACCCAAGGAATGAGCTGCTTTTCTTTAGCCCTACAGACTGTAAAGACATTTCTTACTGCCTTTGAAGTGCTGTCTGTGTAATGGAACTGTACAAATGATTTTATTTTTATTTTTCCCCTTCTCAGTGGCTTCTTTGTCATGGGAAAGACAAATGCTCGTTGCTAGGGAACAGTATATAACCTTGTGACCAATAAACAGTAAAGTTTCTTTCATCCTTCCACTTTTGACAGTATCAAGCCCTTAGTATTATTCACTTTAGGTTTAGTGTTACATAGGCTGCATTCAGATCTGGAAATCCATTAGCAAATGCTGCATTTCTCATCTCAGAATAATTGGCATATTGCCACAGTAGAAGCTCCCTCAAATAGCCTACATGTATCTAGAAACTGCAGCATTAAATAACAAACAAGAGTCACAGACATAGTCCCATGCTCACAAGTGTTTAATGACAAAATCATTGACATGACTTTTATATTAAAAAGTATCCATTCAGATGTAACAAGTTATTTGCTTGCATCCTCTCATAAGTATTAACTCTTATATCTCTATTTTCCTATTTGACTGTCATTACTCCAGAATCTTGCTGAAACAGTTTCTCACACAGGAGCAGTTTTCAGGGTCAGGGCATGGTGGTACACACCTGTAATCTCAGCACTCTGTGATGCTGAGTGAGCAGGAGGATCACAAGCTCAAGCCCAGCTAAAACAACTTACTGACTCAGTGAGACTGTTGAAGAATAAGAAGAAGAGGAGGAGAGAGAGCGAGCAAGCGAGCATGAGTGAGCTGGGGACCTAGCTCAGTGCAAAGTCCTGGGTTCAATGCCCAGAAACACACTCACTCACTGACAGAAGGGGGCGGGCCGTTTTGATTAGTGATCTGCACTTCAATACTGTGATGACCTCATTGCAAACTATTTTAAAGTTTGGATACAGAGCATTAGAGAACTTTCTAAAAGAATTCAGTTTTCAGATATTTCTCAGAGTTTTCTTCTTTTTTCAACTGAATCAGTTGTAGTAAACAGGATTATATGATACATTACATTTTATGTCTTAACATCTAACATCTTGTTCTGCACTACTCTGAGTTATATCTCCGTCACTCACATTTACCTTCTCACTTGTCTCATTTAACAGAAGTGGAAAGCAAGGAGAGTGATGGGGTGATAAATAGCATCTCAGTAAAATCAACAGTAAAAAGTTAGACTGTTTTAAACAGAAATTAGGAGCATTTTCTGATGGAAAATTAAAAAGAAAGGGAAGATACAGTTACATGCTTTAATATTGAATCATTTGTTCATTCACAATGCAAACCTATTTAGATGTTAAAGACTTGCAATGTAACCTTGTTTTGTGTGCTTTCCTCTGCTGATTCATCGGGGCAGCCCCAGTGTGGGGATCAGGAGCCTGGGCGTTGATGCTAAGTGAATTTCAGTTCAAATCCTGGGTCTGCAGTTACTGTATTTGCTATCTAAATGGAATACATAGCCACTTTATGTCTCAGTTCCACTTAGGTATTATTTTTGGGACAATTTATCCCCCAGTTGGTATCATATGGTTGGTGTTGAAATGGCGTATGCAGAACTGTACATTTCCCTGTACATATCCATACATTTTACATTTCCATATTACTTAAGATAACACTAACCTCCCAGTAATTATTCAGTAAATGTTGGGAACTAACAGCCTTGACTTCATTTAACAAACTTTTATTGACCAAATATTATGTTGTCAACCTTAAGTTGAGTGTTCCAGCCTTGAAAAAACACACTGATTTAAAATATCTACTCTCCTATAACCAAAATAAGCTAGTAAAAATCTTTGATAATATCTTTGAATTGGTGATTCCAGAGGACCAGTAGACTTTCAGGCAAGGTTGAGGTTTTGTCTCTTTGTTTGTATTTGTTTTTGTCTTGTCTTTTTTGAGACAGGGTTCCATTGTGCAGTTCAGGCTGGCCTTGAACTCACTTTATAGCCCAGACTAGCCTTGAACTCATAGCAGTCCTCCTGCCTCAGTCTCCTGAGTGCTGGGATTATGGGCATGTACTACCATGCCTGGCCTGAGTTCTTGATGGTATTTGAATTTAAGTAATTACAAGTATTTAGTAATTCATGTTGGCTTTTCCAATTATTTTTACTGGATTTCATTTTATCTCTGTTAGAATTTAAAGAGAAAAGCTTTATACATATTTGTAATATAAGGCAATGCTTTCTTTCCACTTAGTATTTTGCTTGTTTGTAAATATTTTTCATTAACATCACCTCTTGATAGATACAATGTAATGGCATAGGTTTCTAACCTGAGTTTGCCTAACTGTAGGTGATAGGCTCTCGTCTGTGTCATAACGTAGTTTAAGGTTCATTTCTTTCAGATACTTGTCTATAACTATACTTATCACAGGCCTTTAGTTTGATGTTTAAAGGAGATAAAAAGATATTATGAAAATGAACCATAATGTAGAATTTTACGGTACAGTTAGCTTTAGCATGATTTATATACAAATTCAGTTTACCTTTCCACATTTGTGGCCTATTTTATATAGAGTAGTGTAGAGACTCAGAGATGAGCAGTAATAGCTGCAAATACTTATGCAGTGCTCACTGTGTAATAGTGTATTGCATATACTAACTCAATCCTCACAGGCCTAAGAGAGGAGAATGAATTTAAAACTTAGGAGGAAGTAAACTCCAACAGAGAAGAAGCTTGCAAAATTTCTGGTGTAATGGATGGGGTAATCACACAATAAATCTTTATGTATATTGTAAAGGAAAGCCAGGGGCCAAGGTGATCTTGGGAACAAGAAAACCTTTTTGAAGAAATTATGTTTGAGCTATTGCCTACTGGAAAATGAGAAAATGAGTGTGTGGGTATGTGTGTGTGTGTGTGTGTGTTTCTGACACAGTATATGTCGTTTTAACACCACTATATGACACTCATGTGGAATAAATTATTACTTAATTCTATTTTTTCACTCAAGAGTTAATGCAGGCTCAGTTTCACAACATTGCTCCTAACTCAGACCTCAGACCACCAACTACAAATGGGCTTCCCAGCCACTGCAGTCCACTCACGACTATAAATTTGGGGTTTTTCCTACTTCTCTCCCCCAAATTTGATAATTCACTAGAACGAATCATAGAACTTACAGAAACCACTATGTGTACAGTTAGTCCTCTGATAAAGGGTATAATTCGGGAACAGACAAGTAGAAGAGATCCATAGGACAAGAACTGCAGGGCACATGAGGGGTGATGTGCAGAGAGCTGCTGTGCCCTGTCTAAGAAGACCACCCTCCCATCACCTTGCCCTGTTCACCAACCATGGTGGCTCAGGAGTTTTTATAGAGCCTCGTTATCATTGGCCACTGGTGATTGAACTCAATCGCTAGTCCTTCTCCCCTATATAAAAATTGAGGTGGGAATGAAAGCTTTAAGCTTTTAATCACATAGTTGGTTTTCTGGCCACTGCCCCATCTTAAGCTTTCCAGGGACCCTCACCCTGACTGATCATTAATATAAAAAAGATATCTTTTTTTTTGTCTTTTTCATTTTTATTGGTACCAGGGATGGAACTCACAACCGCACATTTGTAAGGCAGGCACTTATGCTGCTGAGCTAAATCCCCAGCCCCTAAGAAAGATATCTTATTAGGGGGGTTTTCAGGAGCTTGGTGACAGATCAGAGACAATGACCGAATATTTATTTTTTAATAGAGGCTTAAGTGGACTCTGTGGCAGCCAGAGAAACTGTCACTCTGATCTCCAAAAATGGATTTACTGTGTCGAGTGTGGTCAGCAGACAGCCCCAGGTGCCACCTTTTGTACCTTTCACTGCAGGGCCAGCTCACACTGTGCTCTTCTCAGCCAGCGATTGAGCATTTCAGGTAGTAGGGCCACTACCACACCTGCTTGTGGTGCTGAGGAATTCCTGCCCACCCCTGCTCCTGTGTCTGCCATTCCCAGGCGCTCCTCCTAGGACATCTCGTCCTTGGCATCATCCAGAAGCCCACTCTTTATTCTTAGTTCTTTGGAGCCCAGAGGACGTTCTGTAATTCTTTTCATCCAACTTTGTGCTTCTCACCACTTTGTTTTGCTGGGGAAAGGCAGTAACTTCTGTAACTGACACTTTTTCTTCCCTTCATTCCTAAATTCTCAAGGGAGATCTGGGAAGTGCGAATAAAGGACAGGTCAGTAGTGTACTTATTGATGG